ATAAGAACAAGTATTTGATCCAGATTATTCATAGGAATTCAATCTCACCTAGTTGATAGTTCCATTTTCTGGTCCTTTAGTAAGAGAAATCGAGGTGTATTGATGCTAAATATACTTAAGATTATTTTTGTTATTTATGTGAACATTAGGGATATAAATGAAGCTGATGTTAAGTTAGGATCCTTAGCTAAGGCAACTAAGCGACTTCATTTTTATCTAGGCACCTTGGCTAAGGTTACTGCGCGACCCCATATTGGTTGGCAGCGGACCTTCCTCAGCATTTTCCTATAATAGGTTGATTACCCTTAGAAGTAAAGGAACTTTCCCTAAGGTTATGGTTGACCTACATAACAGGATGTAACTTGAATAAACTCATCCTGATAGTTTCTGAATAACAAGAACTGAAAATCAGGAGCCCAGTGACTAATGCTTATTTTGGTTTCTGTAATAATCACTTTTGCAACCACTATTGTATCAATTCCCTGTCCTTGAGCCAAGAGGGTATGTGGCTTCTGTCTTTAAAATCTGACTAGGGCCCTGGCCGGTTTGACGCAGCGGTTAGAGCATTGGCCTGCGGTCCCTAGAGACCCGGGTTTGGTTCCCACTAAGGTCACATACCTCAGTTGGTTGCAATTTGTCCCCTGCCCTGGTTGGTCTTATGGGTGGCAGCCACTGGATGTGTCCCTTTCACGTCGATGTTTCTCTCTCTCTCTCTCTGTTCCTCTTTTCCCCTCCCACTCTACCTGAACAAAAAATGGGAAAATGTCCTGGGGTGAGGATAAATAAAAAATCTGACTAGGATTAACAAATGGGGGCTGCTTATTTGGGAGACTTATGCCCCTGCAGCCCCCGGGAGAATAAAGCTCTGCTCTCAATTACAATTCGATTTCATCTGTGATGGTCTTCCTTGGTCATCATAACATTATCCCTGGTTTTAGAGGGCATTCTGTCTTCATTTTGTCTAGAATGCATTTATTCTGCTTTGGGTTGAAAAGCTCTGAACCAGTCATTTTCAGGGTTTTTTTTTTGTTTTTTGTTTTAATCTCAAGGTGCATGTAAACTACTAAAATTCAAGGGCACATTAAGAAATATTTTCCCAGTGGGCCAAGAGTTAGTTATAATTTTTATTTTTAATTCATTTTTAGGGAGAGGGACACAGAGCTAGAAACATCAATGAAATGACAGACAACATCAATTAGGTCTCCTGCATGACCCCACTGGGGGTTTGGCCCAGAACTTGAGAATTTCTGATAGAATCCCAGAGGTTTTCTTCTTTGCTTTCTTCCACTGCCCTAATCTATCAGCAATGTAACCCACTTACACCCTCTCTTTAAATTATAATATATAAATAAGGGGCAAAACTGGTATTCTCTGGAAGATTATGTCAATTTGTTAAAATTTTGCTTCCCGTCATTTGCTATCAGTGAAGTTGAAATAAACTCACAAAAACTTTCTATAGGTTTGAATGCTTCTTACCTTCACAGGAAGATGTTAAAGTATAATAAAATTGGGTAATGTATTTAACTGGGAGTTAAACATTTCAAAAGAAGTCAGTCAGTAGGAACAACAGTCTATATACATCAGCAAAATCTTAAATATGTTAAAGTGTGTGGAAAAGGTCTTCGAACTTGAATCCTTGGAGGGTCCACCATAATACTGATTTTGGAAAACAATGTTACAAATTTTGGACTGATGACTTGGGTAACTCAAGGTAATGAACAGGGAAAGGCCACACCCATGAGAGTCAGGTGGAGGGAACCCCAGGCTTCAGCCCCTTCCCTCTAGTGCTGGTCTCTGCCAGACCCAGGCCATTGTGGCAGCCCCTCCCCCATTCGGGGATCCCTCAGGTTAGGTTCGGCCCCGCCCATTCCTTGCCGGGATGAGCATGCGCAGTTGCCTACAGAGACGGAAGCGGCTTTGTGGTCACAAAGGTCACTGGTCCTTTTCTCCTGCGGGTCTTTCTACCGTGAGGCCGATTCCGTCCTCGCCCTGCGCAGGGACGGCGGGTGCGCTGCAGACGGGGAGTCCTGGTTGGACCCACTTCCGAGCCTCTCCCGGGGGCGTCCAAGTTCCCACGGCACCGTGGAGGCTCCACGTGCGTCTCCGAGGAAGCCACATCTACGGTGGTGCCTCCGCCTCCGGCCGCTGGGCGCCGCCTGCCCGCGGTTCTCCTGCTGGAAACGTCCCCTCGCCGCCGGGGAGCCGCCCCGGTCCCGGTGAGCGACCCCCTGCGCCCCTCCCCCGCCTCATCGCTTTCGGCCTCGAGACCTGCAGGGATCCCGGCCTGGGGTCCGCACCCCGCCTTCCCGAGCCCGCTTCCCGCCGCACGAGGGGTGTCGGTGCCCGGACAGCGCGGGCGCCCTGGGGGGACTGAGCCGGGAGCCGCGGCCCCCGGAGAGGTCCCGCCGCGGGGAGCGCGCTGTGGCGGCGGCGGCTGCGGAGGGGCGGGAGCCGGACGGACAGACGGCACGTGGGGGACGGTCCTGAGGCCGAGAGCGGACGGGGTGGGAGAGGCCCCGGGGAGGAGCGGGGGACAGTGAGACTCTCCGGGGAGAGGGCACCCCGAGGGGAGCACAGGGCTGTCGGGAGCGGCCTGGGGAGCCGAAGTGGGGGCGACAGGACGGGCCCCGAGGACGGAGAGCGTGGTCCTGAGGGGAAGAGTTGGGGAGCGAGTGCAGGGGCGGAAAGGGGTTCAGGGGTGACGGGCCGAGGGAGACACAGCGCTGAGAGGCAGCCCGCTGTGGGGACGGGCAGGACGGGCACAGGGCACGGCCGGGCAGGGGTCTCAGAAAGAGGCGGGGAGCCCCTGACGGCGGGGAGGTTTGCAGAGTGTGCGGGGCAGGTGCAGGGACAGGAATAGAGAAAAGGGGAGAAGGAGCCGGGGACGGGGAGGGGAACAGGAAAGGACAGCAGTGCAGAGAGGGGATCAGGGAGGCAGGCAGATCTGCAGACAGAAACACACAGGAGCTGGGAGCCCGGGACTGGATCTGGGTGACTGCTGAGCTGCTGGGGTCTGGGTGATGAAGTTGGGATATATGGCTGGAGTCTTGATGTACTTAATTCAACATTATCGGAATTATTTCAGTAAACAGATTGGGATGAGAATTACAGATCTGTATTTTATAAGGCTTGTAAAATTTATAATGGTTTGCTTCCCATGTAAACACTATTCAGACAGGGCAGAGAGAGCTGTCTGTTGGTCCTAGGTCCTTATCATTTCCTGGGATGGCAAAAAAGGAAGTGACTTGGGCAAGTAATGACTGAGTCTGTCAGCACATGAAGCTATTTCAAGGAATATTAGAATCCTTAGGTCATTTTTTCCTCCCCTTTGGATTCCCTTTCTATTTAACCTGATATTTAAACCTTTTTTTTTTTTTAAATCCTCACCTGAGGACATTCTTTGCATTTATAGAGCGAGAGGGAGAGAGGGAGAAAGAGAGAGAAACATGGTGTGTTCGCCACCCACACAACCTGAACCGACACCAGGGACAAACTGCAACCCAGGTACGTGGCCCTAGCAGGAACCGAACCCGGGTCTCTCCAGATCGTGAGCCGATGCTCCAACCAAACTGGCCAGGGCTATTTAAACCTTTTTTTTTTTTCAATCCTCACCTGAGGACATTTTTCCACTTTTTGTTCAGATAGAGTGGAAGGGAGAGATAGAGTGAAACATGGAAGTGAAAGGGACACATCGAGTGGCTGCCACACCCACATAACCAACCAGGGCTGGGGCAAACTGCAACCAAGGTACGTGTCCTTAGCGGGAACTGAACCTGGGCTTCTCTGGACCGCAGGCCGAGGCTCTAACAGCTGAGCAAAACTGGCCTGGGCTTTAAACTATTTTTAGAAAACATGCAGATATATTAGTTTATTTAATATTTGGTCTTTCAAAATAGTAACCAACTTCTGAAATAAGGATTTGTGATGTCCCATAATCAACTCTTATTGTCTTTTCTAAATATGTTAGTCTTAGCATTAATTCATCTTTAAACCTAAAAATAATTACATAAAACAACAACCATTGTCCAGGCTCATCAGTTAGAGATTCTGCTTATGGGCCTAAGGGACAACTGTTCAATTCCCAGTAAGTTCAAGTACCTGGGTTATAGGTTGGCTCGCCAGCCTTTGTTGGGGTCCTGCGGGCTACTGTAGGCAACCATTCCATGTGTTTCTCTCACGTCCTTGTTTCTCTCTCTCTCCTTCCCTCCCTTGTAATTTATCTAAAAATTGATGGAAAAATATTCTCGGTTGAGGAATAACAACAAACGATCAAAATTGTTCTACATTTTAAATATGTTGTGTCCAGTTTTGATTCTGAGCCTCGTATCCTTTCTAATGTTTATCATATGTTAAAACACCCATTGGCAACTAGTGGATAACATGAGGACATGTCCCTGTGCCTTTCGTAAAGATGTCAGTTATCTTAGCAGTCAGAACCTACGTGTGTGAGTTGGTCTAATGTTCAGCAGCTTTTTCCTTCCCTTTATGTCATTTGTTGAATTAGTGACTGTGAGCCAGAGAGGAGGTGTTCCCCTCAAGTCCCTCTTGTTCATTTTCTGAAAACATCGAAGGATCAACTGGATTAACCTGACTTAGTTAAGTCATTTGATCAGCATATTTCAGTAGCTAAATTTCTACAAAAATTTTAGCATGAAGATCTATTCTGTTATTTCCTGGAAATCGAGGAAGGAAATGTGTCTCACACGCCACCTTTTCTAGACTCTGATACTTCCAGTGCCTCACACCACCCAGAGGTCTGTTACTCAGTGGTACTGCAACAGCTACTGAACCATGCAGGCACCAGGAGGGAACGCCTTGAAGATGGTATATCATGGGTCCCACTGCCAGCTTTGTTCAGGGAGGGTACTGGTGTTGTGTTAAGTTTGGGGGTTCAGGAGGTCAGTTGTACTTCTCATTGCTATAAAAGTTTGTGGAGGTCTCTGTAGGGAGGGACACGTGAAGACAGATAAAGAAACTCTCATTGTTTGTTCTCCATGTAGGAGCTTGTATTTTTCCTGACTTTTCGGTGACAAAGGACATCAGAGAGGCCTTTTCAGCAGTTCCTGGTCCTTTTGATTGTGAGTGTTGTGTGTGCTGATTAAGGGCCTGTGCGGATACATTTGAAGGCACATTCTGTGACTCAAACATATCGTCACCTGAGAAAACAACCCTGAGCAGGACCAGGACCAGGACAAAATGGCTGCTTCTCAGGTAAAAGCTGTGTCATGGGTCAGAGGCTGTGTCTGCTGTTCCTCTCACATGGGTGGATTTAGAAGCTGTAACCTTAATTTCTCTACTTCTGATATTCTTGCCCAGGGAGGTTTTCTTTGTCTTATTTCATTTCTTTTTTTCTTATGAGGTCAAAGTCATCAGGTTGTGTACTTCTCTCCTTTGTCCCAGAGCCTGTTGTGCATTCACTTTCTGTGGGCTCCCCCAGCTCAGGAAGCATACCTGCCTCCTGTGACTTTCCATTCTTGAAAACATCCCTTTCCTGACAGACCAAGCAGGGAAGGCACCCATGTCTAACATCCCTGTTGGAATGGGATCAGAGGCTCCAGTAGCAGTGAGGAAGGAAAATGTTTCCGGGGGAAAGCAGGGGCCACATCAGGTCTGAACATCCTGGAAGAAAATGTACATTTACTGCTCAGAGTATCTCAGGAAGTTCTAACACGAATAAATACAACACACTTGCTCAGCAGTTTGGTAGACAGACTTACTTTTTTTATTTTTTTTATTTTTATTTTTTATCCTCACCCGAGGATATTTTTCCATTTTTTGTACAGATAGAATGGGAGGGAGAGAGAGGAAGGGAAAGAGAGAGAGAAATATCGACGTGAAGGGACACATCCAGTGGCTGCCACCCGCACGACCAACCAGGTCCGGGGACAGACTGCAACCGAAGTACGTGCCCTTAGCGGGAACCGAACCCGGGTCTCTCCGGACCGCAGGCCGATGCTCTAACCGCTGAGCCAAACTGGCCAGGGCCAGACTTACTTTTTTAAAACAATGTTTTTCTTATCTTCACCGGAGGAAATTTTTGCATTTCAATAGAGCAGGAATGAGAGAGTGAGAAAAACATCAATGTGAGAGAGACACATCAATTGGTTGCGAACCGCAGCACGTGCCCTTAGCAGGAACTGAACCCAGGACTCTCTGGCTTGCAGGCCGATGCCCTTACCGCTTTGCTAAACTGGGCAGGGCAAAACTTGCTTTTTAAATGTACTGTTAATGGCATATGCTCCTGGCCTGTGTGGTTCAGTGGTTCGAGCGTTAGCCTGTTCACTGAAGAGTAATGGGTTTAATTCCTGGTGAAGGTCAGGTACATGGGTTGCAGGTTCATTCCCCAGCACTAGTAGGAGCACATGGGAGATACAACCAATCAGTGTGTCTCTCTCTCTCATAGATGTTTTTCTCTTTCTCTCTCTTTCTACCCCCTACTTTAACGCCTTAGAAAAATTAGTGATGAAAAGATCCTCTAGTGAAAATTAACGAAATATAATTAAATAAATAAATAAAAGCAAATGTACCATTAGCATACAGCACATGAAAGGTAAATGTGGATTGACGTCTTACAAAATTAATGTTTTCTTGTGACTATTTTTTTTTAATTAAAAAACGTATTTTGTTGTTGAATGTATTACAGATATTCGTCTTTTCCCCTATTAACCCCTTCCTCCCCACTCCCGCCCTCCTCTTGCCTTTCCCCACACTGTTGTCTGTGGCCATTAGTTATGCATATATGCATATAAGTTCTTTGGTTTATTTCTTCCCAACCCCACTCCCACCCTCCTTCCTTTGAGGTTTGTTAGTCCAACAACCAGTTTGTACTTCTTAATCCCTTCACCTTTATCACCCATTCCCCCAACCCGTGTACCATCTGTCTGCTAACAAAATGTTCTCTATATCTATGCGAGTGTCTCAGTTCTCTCTGTTCATTTTGTTTTTAGATTCAATTGTCGATAGATATGTATTTATTGCCATTTTGTTTGTTCGTATTTTTTGTCTTCTTTTTCTTGAAGAATATCCTCAACATTTCATATAACAATGGTTTGGTAGTGATGAACTCCTTTAGCTTTTTCTCATCTGGGAAACTTTTTTTTTTTTTCTGGTACGTGCCCCTAGCAGTACCGAAACTGGGACTCTCTGGCCTGCAGGCCTGCGCTCTACCGCTGAGCCAAACCTGCTAGGGCAGTGGGATATTCTTTATATGTCCATTGATTCTAAATCTTCTGATTATTTTTACAATGTGAAATCTTTATTGATGTATTTTTGCCAGTGATGTCAAGCAGTGAGGACATGTCCTTCCCTGGGTCGCAGTCACCTGATACTCACTTGGCGGGGGTTGCTCTCAGCCCTACAGAGCTAGTCGTTTCTCTTTATCAGTACAGAGTTTCTGGTAGGAATTGAATGAAAGAGGTGAAAACCCATCACATCTCATCTGGAAATTCCCTTCTTCTTAGTTTCTGTTTCCTTTGGAAAATGACACCCTCCTTTTATTTTCTACAGATCATTGGCTTTTTCATGGTTTTTACATAATCAGTCCTTGTTCCTGTAAATTTTCATTATCTTCCACGTTCATGTCATGGACATACTCTACATAATTTTTTTTTAAATTTTCTAGAATGTTTACAAGAATTGCTCGGCCGGTGTGGTTCACTGGTTGAGCTTCGACCCATGCACCAAGAGGTCACCAGTTTGATTCCTGGGCAGGGCAAATGCCTAGGCTGTGGGCCGTGATCCCAGTGGGGGGGCATGCAGGAGGCAGCCAGTCAATGTTCTCTCTCATCGATGTTTCTATCTCTTTCCCTCTCCCTCTCCTTTCCTCTCTCTTATAGGAAACAAAATATCAATATAGAACTGCTTTTTTTTAAAAAAAGGGAAGTTTAGAAGTATATTATTAATGTATGTTCATTTTGTTCAGTTAAATTTCTACATTACAGCTTTCCACTAACGATAACCAAAATTGTCAAATAAATGAACGATGCACAATAGCTCAAACTCGTTTTCTATCATAAGGTGAGTTCCTCTCTTTACTGTGTTTATAAAACATAAAGGGGCCCGGCTGGTGTGACTGAGGGTTTGAGTGTCGACTCATGCACCAAGTGGTTGCCAGTTCGATTCCCAGTTGGGGCACATGCCCAGGTGTGGGATAAATCCCCAGTGGGGGTCATGTGGGAGGCAGCCAGTGGATATTCTCTCATTGATGTATTTATCTCTCTCCTTCTCCCTTCTGCTCCCTCTAAAATCAATGAAGAAAGAAAAAAAAAAAGGGTATCATTCACTTTCAGATTCAAGAGATTCATGGAATCACAAAATAGTCTTGATTTCAGTGACAGGAAAATTTGGGTTCTTTTCCCTTTTATATTGTACTTAGTTCTCATGTCTGTCTGTCTGTCTGTCTGTGTGCATAAAATTTAAATATTAGCCCTGGCCAGTTTGGCTCAGCGGTTAGAGCGTCGGCCTGCGGTCCATAGACCCGGGTTCAGTTCCCGCTAAGGGCACGTGCTTCGGTTGCAGTTTGTCCCCGGCCCTGGTTGGGTCGTGCGCATGGCAACCACTCAATGGGTCCCTTTCACGTCAATGTCTCTCTCTCTCTCTCTCTCTCTCCCTTTCCCTCCCTCCCTCCCTTTCCCTCCCTCCCTCCCTCTCTCTCTCTCTCTGTCTCTTCCTTTCTCTCACTCCCACTCTTTCTGAACAAAAAATGAAAAAATTTTTGGGGGGAGGATAAAAAAAAATTTAATATTACTTGACACTTCTGACTCACCATGAAATCTCAAGCTGAGAAATAGACACAACTGACACTCAATGGTTCAGATACAGTACTCAAAATACGTATGCCTGTGTCGATGCTGTCATTTTTTTTTTTTTTTTATCCTCACCTGAGGATATTTTCCCATTTTTTGTACAGATAGAGTGGGAGGGAGAGAGAGTGAGAAACATCGACGTGAAGGGACACATCGAGTGGCTGCCACCCACACGACCAACCAGGGCCGGGGACAAACTGCAACCGAAGTACGTGCCCTTAGCGGGAACCGAACCCGGGTCTCTCCGGACCGCAGGCTGACGCTCTAACCGCTGAGCCAAACTGGCCAGGGCGATGCTGTCATTTTTAAAGTTTGTTTTCTGCAAAGTAGCATCTCTGCAGTGGATTTGTAGAAATGTGTCATCCTCTTTTCCCAGTGTTAGAAAATACACTAGACTCTATTACTGGGTCTAAATGATCTTGTGTGATACAGTATACTCTCCTCGGGCAAAACACTTCTAACACTGTTTCCATGTTGGGTGACATGAACTCTGCTTGCTGTCCCTTGGTGAATATGTCTTTCTTTTCAGGGCCCGCTGACCTTCAGGGATGTGGCCGTAGACTTCTCTCAGGAGGAGTGGGAATGCCTGGACCCCGCTCAGCAGACATTGTACCTGGATGTGATGTTGGAGAACTACAGGAACCTAGTCTCCCTGGGTGAAGATGACTTCCTTCCAGAGCTCCTCCTCCAGCAGCTGGGTTTGTTTTCTTTATGACTTTATTTCTTTATTAATTTATTTTTGTTACAGATGTTTCTCCTCCTTTATTACTTTAACATTTTTGGGGGTATTCTGCTTTGTATGATAGACTTTCAGAGTCTTGCTCTCAGGGAACAAATTGGTGGTTTTCTGGTATAGAAAGAAGCTTTGTGATGTATATGAATTAGAAATTTGCTGTCTGAAAATTTTTAAATTTTTTTGTGGTTCTTTTATTAATGAGGGGCGTTGTTTTGTTGTTATTTTCTTTGTTTTGACACTAGGGTAGATGATACCCTGTATATTTTGTGTCAGAATAGCAGAGATGTAATTATCATGAAAAAATTTCTCACATCATTTAAACACATATTTTTGTTTTGTTTTATCCTCTGAGGACATTTTTTCATTTTTTTGTTCATAGTGGGAGAGGGAGGGAAGGAGGGAGGGAGGGAGGGGAGAGAGAGAGAGAGCGAGAGAGAGAGAGAAACATCGACGTGAAAGGGACACACAGAGTGGTTGCTACCCTCACGACCCAACCAGGGCCAGGAACAAAATGCAACTGAGATACACGCCCTGAGCAGGAACCAAACTGCAGTCTGTCTATACCACAGGCCAAACACTCTAACCGCTGAGCCAAACCGGCCAGGGCTAAACGTATTTTTTAAATTGATTTTTATTTCAGAGAGCAGAGAAGGGGGAAGTGGGAGACAGAGACAAGTGTGGATTTTTGTTTCACTTATTCATGCAGTCATTGCTTCTTGTTGTTGTTTTTTGAGCCATGACTCAGGATCGAACCTGCAATCTTGGCATATGGCGATGATGCTCTCACCCACTGAGCTACCTGACCATGGTTCCTAAATGCTTCTTTTGTAAAATTACACTTCACAGCTATTTTTAAATGATTTGAATTCATTTCCTGTGAAGCTTTCCTGCCATATAAAGTAAGTCGAGGTATAAAATGTTTGCTCTTCATGGAGGCACATTCACAGTTAGAATTTTTAGTGATGTAGAGGGATCTTTTTCAATAACGTGTGTATTCAGATTTTGTAGGTGAAATGTTCTATTCTTTTCCTGCTGTTTCTTCTTCATTTTTTGTTTTCATTCAATATTCTGTGTTAGTTTCAGGTGTACAGATGAGCAGTTGCACAATCATCTGCTTTACACAGGATTCCCCCTGATATTTCCAGTACCCAGCCGGCACCGTACATAGTCATCACTACATCATTTACTGTATTTCCTGTGCTGTACTTCATATCCCAGTGACTATCTGTGACTGCCACCTGTGCTCCTTCATTCCTCCACTATTGTCAGCCAGTCCTTCAACAGGCCTCAGGCCTGGGAACTCCAAGTTTCTTCTCTACATCTGTGAGTCTGTTTCTGTTTTGTTTGTTCATCTCTGTTATTCTCTACATTCCATGTATAAGTGAAATCCCCTGGTATTTGTATTCTTGTGAGTGACTTATTTAATGTAGCATAATTCAGTTTCGCTGTATCCAAGCTTTTGCAGTGATAAGATTTGTATTTGTTTTATAACCAATTATTATATTTTTGGTATATATATTTTTTCCTCTTTTTTTAAAAAAGAATAGTTTATTGCCCTGGTCAGTTTTGCTCAATGGTTAGAGCATTGGCCTGCGGACCATTGAGTCGCAGGTTCGATTTTGGTGATGGGCGTGTACCTCAGTTCCGGTTCGTCCCGGCCCTGGTGGATCACACTGGAGTCAGCCAGTTGATGTGGCTCTATCACAGTGATGTTTCCCTCTGTCTCTCTTTTCTTTCCTCTTCATCCCTCCTTCTGTTGCTAATGATAAATAGAGAAATATTCTCGGATGAGGAATCAAACAAAAAGAAAAACAGGGAAAGAATGGTTTATTTTCTGAAGGACGAAGGAAAAAAGAGTAACGTTGATGTGATAGAGCAACATGTATCAGCTACCACCTTCATGCCCCAAACTGGTGAATACAGTCTTGACCAGGAATCAAAGTGGCCACCTTCCCATGCATAGGACTACGCTGAACCAGGTGACTCACACTGGCCAGGGTTTTTTGGTTCGTTTGTTTGTTTTTTAATAGAAGAACCTGTATCATTTCTTGTGATACTGATATGGTATTAATGAACTTCTTTAGTTGTCTTATGTATGGGAAGCTTTGATTTTAGATATTAGATTTTATTGTGTATTGTAATCTTGGTTGTAGTTTCTTTCTTTTCATTGCTTACAATATTTCTCCCAATCTTTTCTAGCCTGCACAGTTTCTGTTCTGAAGTCAGTTCATAGTCTTATGGGAGCTCCCTTGTAGATAACTGCTTTTGTATTGCTGCTTTAAAGATTCTCTTTGACCTTCACTTTTGACATTTTAATTGTTCTGTGTCTTGGATTGGGCCTCTTTGATTATTTTGTTTATAGAACTTGTACTTCATGGAGTTGTATGTTTATTTCCTTCTGTAGGTTTTGGAAGTTTTTTGTCATTTTTGTTCAAACGGGTTTTCAGTGTTTTGCTGTCCCTTTTCTATTTCTAGCACCAATCTGATGTGAACATTGTTTCACTTGAAGTTGTCTCTGAGGTTCCTTACAATATCCTCATTTTTTTAATTCTTTCATTTTTTTACTGTTGTGTTTGGAAGTTTTATGCTTCCTTATAATCCGAATCGCTGATTTGATTCTCTGCTTCATCTACTCTACTTTAGATTCCCTGTAATATTTTTATTTCTTTCAATTAGTGTAGCCTTTATATATGACTCACTTTTCATATGGTTTCCATGTCCTTATGCTGTGGAAGTTGTCACTAAGTTCCTTGAGCGTCCTTTGAACCATTGTGAACTTGGTCTCTAGTAGTTTGTTAGCCTCCATTACATTCAGTTCCTTTCTGGCAATTTTTTGTTTCTTGCATTTGGGACCTGCATTTTTGTCTTGTCGTTTGGCTGCTTTCTTGTGTTTTCTTTTATGTAGTAGGTAAGAGCAGCTCCATCTGCTGGACTTGATAGAGCTGCCTTTTGCATGAGGTGTTTTGTAGAGCCCAGGGGCGCTGCCTCCACAGTCCCTCGAGCTGGGTGCTTAGGGGTGTCCTGTGAAGGTTTATTGATAATAACCTAGAAGTAGGACGGCCGCATCATAGGATTATTCTACTTTAATTTTTTGAAAAGCGCTATTCAGGTTTTCATATTATTTATACCAGTTCATCTTTTATTCAACTGTGCATAGGGTATAATTTCTCCACATTTTTGGAAGCACTTGACGTGTTTTATTTATTTGATACCAATCATCCTAATTGTGAGGTGATATATGGTGTTTTATTTATTTTTTTAATGAAGGATAAAATTTTTATTCATTGTGTATTCATAAAAATACAATGGACACCCCTGGGTGGTTTGGCTCAGAGTCTTAAGGGTCGCAGGTTTGATGTCTGGTCAAGGGTACGTACCTGAGTTCAGGTAGCTGACGTGTCTCTCTCACATCATTGTTTTTCTCTCTCTCCTATATATATATTTATAAATATATATATATTTAATTTCCTTTATTGATGTTAAGAGTGACAGAGAGAGGAAGGGAAAGGGACAGAGAGAAGCATCGATGAGAGAGAACATCAATTGGCTACCTCCTGCATGCCTCCCACTGGGAATCAGGTCCACAACCTGGGCATATGCCCTGACCTGAACTCTAACTGGCGACCTCTTGGTGCATGGGTTAATGCTCAAGCAGTGAGCCATACCAGCCGGGCTGGAAAGATATTTTTAGGTAAGGAGAACCAAAAAAAATTTTTTTGGATCACTCTGGCTTCTACTGACATCTGATACATACCAGCGTTCTATTTAAGATCATGGCATGTGTAGTTTCTTTTTCGAGTTCTCCTTTAATTACCGCCAACAATATTTTATACTTTCTTGATTTTAGAGAAAGAGCATCATGGAGAGAAGGAGAGGGGGAGAGAGAGAGAGAGAGAGAGATGGAGATATAAAGGGTTTGTTTGGTTAATTATGTGTGCATTCATTGGTTATTTATTTCTTTTTTGTTGTTTTTGTTTGTTTTGTTAATTCTCCCTGAGCATATTTTTGTCATTAATTTTTTTATAGAGAGTGGAAGGGAGAAAAGGAAGAAGGAGGAGAGAAAGGTAGACAAATGTCTATGTGAGAGGACAAATCAATTGGTTGCAGCCTAAAAATACATGCCCTTGACTGGGAATCGAACCCCAAATCCTTCCTTTCAAGGTCTAGCAATCTACCCACTGAGCCACACCAGCCAAGGCTCTTTATTTACTTTTTTAATGTGCCCTGACCAAAGACCAAATGTGCAACCTTGTCAGGATGACACTGTAAAGAACTTAGGCACCCAGGCAAGGCGCACATATCCTTTTTATTTTATAGTGTAGGTACCCCTTTGGTGATCTTTCGAACTTATCCAGAAGAAGTTGTATGTAGACCTTTTACTTTCCTGATTGCTTACCCTATTGCTTTGTTTTCTTTCGTTGCACAGAAGTCATAGTGATTTGTGTTATTAGAGCACTACATATTTTTATATTTGTCTGTTTTTACACGTACACAAAATCTTTATATGTTATATGTGTTAATGTTGGTTAGAATTTGTAAGTGATCTCTAGAAGGATTTTTCTAATCTTTTTTTTTTTAATCCTCACTTGAGATTTTTCCACTTATCTTCAGGTAGAGTAGGGGAGAGAGAGACGGGGGGAACATTGACGTGAGAAGGACATATTGACTGGTTGCCTCCCGCACAACCCTGAGCAGGGCCAGGGACAAACAGCAACCAAGGTACATGCCCTTGACCGAAATCAAATCTGCACCTCATTGGTCTTCAGGCCGACACTCTAACCTCTGAGCCAAACTGGCCAGGGCCCCATCCATGTCCTTCAAAAATTTTATACAGAGATAAATAACATGATCTTTTTTTCTGCAAACCCAGGAAAAATGGACCTGTATTTTATTAAAAACAAGCAATTAAACTTAAATTACCTATATGATTCTTGGTGATTACCAGATTTTTTTAGTGTGCTCAACATGAGATATTTATTGCCGTGGCTGGTTTTCTCGGTGGTTAGAGTGTCTGCCCTGGGCCCCAAGAGTCCTGGGTTCGATTTCTTTCGAGAGCACCTATCTCGGTTCCAGTTTGGTCCTGACCCTGGTTGGGGATCGGTCCTGACCCTGGGTGGTGTTGAGTGGAATGCAACCGATCAATGTCTCTCTTTCTCTCTTTCCCTCCCTCTCACTCTGTCTGAAGATAAATGGAAAAAAAAATAACTTCTGGTAAGGTTGGGAAAAAAGGTGAGCTATTTACTTATTTAGCATCTCTGACTGATTTTGGGAGGCTGGAGAAGATGCAGGGGTAGGGGACATAACAGCTCCAAGGCTTGTTCCAAGGGCTGCAGCAGCTCCCAGGCCTCTTCGGGCTTGAATTTAAAAGTACTATTTATTCCGGTCACATTGAGGTTGGGGCAGTGGCCCCTGCTGCTTGCACAGCCTGCACAGGGTTTCTGGGTGGTGGTAATCTCCCCATTGTTCCCAGGACCACTGTGGCTCCTGGGCCTCCAGGAGGAGGATCTAGAGTGTTGAAAAGACTTATTATTTGTATTTTTCTTTAATCTCTGGGAGGGAAGTGTGTGTGGTCTTTTCTCTTCTTTGAACCATCAATTTAGATATTTTCAAATAGAATACCTACGATGTTACAACATGAAATCTTGCACATGAGAAGACATCCGATCCTATCTCAAAACAGAAACAAACAACAAGTAAAATAAACAAATGAGTGCTCTCAAAAGGAAAGACTGGGAAACTAGCTTCAGACTCTCATCTCACACCAACTGGCACAGCACAGTGGCCCTCTCAGGGCCTGATTGGCACAACCTCCAAACAGCAGAGGCGGAGGATTCCGTGTTCACATAACAGCAGAGAGCAAACCAAGTCACTAACTATAGGAGAGCAAGCAAGGGACATCTGGAACCAAAGTTCCATCATAGATGGACAGAGACTGCGAGAGGTTCTGAGAGAACAGATCATACATACAAATGGGAGCTCTCATCCCTGCTTTTTCATTAATTAAGCCTTTGAGCAGATGATCCCATGACAGGCACAGCAGGGATTTTCCTCGAGATAAAAACTCTAGGCAGCTGCTGGGACCTTCCTGCAATCCCTGCCACAGGGTCAGCCCTCCAGAAGCAGCTGGGTTCCCAGCTAAGTGAGATTAGCCCCTATTTTAAAACAAATTAAGCAATATTATACAAAACAGAAACCAAAGCCATTTTCCAACTATGGCTAGTGCCCAACTATGATTAGTTTCCTTGGTCTTCTAATATTTTCTTTTAATTCTTATAATCTTTATTGCCCCTTTCATATTTACTGAGCCAAACCAGTCACAGCTAAACTAGTAATTTTTTTTATAAGCTATCTCTTCTTTTTCACTATATATTTGTTAATGTAGTCCACTTACTGTGCAAACTGGTCAGTTTGTTAGAGTGTTGAGTGCTTTAGGTCCTATTCAGTTTTCCACTTTAAGTTGACTTTCCGATACCGAAATTTTTAATGTACTATGTACAAGTTTTTTTTTATTTTTAAACTTGGTCACATCTTGCATTGATGATTCCCATTCTCATATAATTTCATTCTGTTTGCATTTTTATTTTGGTCATTAAAAGTTTTCTTGACATTGTATAGTTGTCTTTGTGTTATACTGTTTTATTTTGTAATTTTCCATATATATATATAATATATATATATATATATTTTTTTTTTGCCTGGCCCATGTGGCTCAGTGGTTAAGTTGACCCATGCACCAAAAGGTCACCGGTTCAATTCTCAGTCAGGGAACATGCCCAGGTTGTGGACCCAATCCCCTGTGCGGGGGATGCAAGAGGCAAGCAATCGATGTTCTCTCTCATCAGTGTTTCTATCTTTCTCTCCTTCTCCCTTCCTCTCTCTCTCTCTCTCTCTAAAGTCCAGAAAGAAAAAAAAGTGATATATATATATTTGCTTTTTATTCCTCGCCCTAGGATACTTTTTTATTTATGTAAAGTTAGAGTGGGCAAACCAGTGACGTCTTGCTCAATGTGTTGATGCTCAACCACTGTGGCACACCACCCAGTTTAAACTTCTGTTTCTTTCTCAGAGCCATGGTATCATTTCCTCCTGAACACATCTGCAGTCTGCAGTGTTTGAACAGTTTCTCATTGTTTCTTTGTAGCAGCCACTACAGTACATTCACTCTACTGCCATTCCTTTAGCACTCTGTGCACAACAGAAACACGTTGTCATCGCGCTTCTAAACAGCGAGATCATGGAACATACAGTACCCTCATCTCTATGTCTCCAGAGGAGACACTGGGAATTAGGAGTTGTGTTATAAGATTGCCATTCTGTCCCAGGGCTCTCAGCAGGCATTGTTGGCAAATGTAAGCACCTGTTGTCCCTCTTGGATGAGCACCTGTTGTCCCTCTTGGATGTTGCTTTTTCTCATTGCAGCTCTCTCAAGCTTTCTTTGAACTATTCACTTGCTTTTGCAGTCGGAAAAAATGTTATTTTGTCATTCATTGCTCGTAAGTTCAAGGAACTTCCACCTGAGTGCCAGACTTGTGAACTTTTATTTTCTTTCAGCCATGTCATCTGAAGACAACCAGGCCTTGTGGGAAAAGCCGGGAATACAAGATAAATTGTCTGAGATAATACTGGTAAGTTATGGACGGTGTGGTTTTGGCAATGCATACTGAATGAAAGCCTTGGAGTTTTAGGTAGACTGGCATGAGAAGAAAGGATGTAAATATACACAGAACTGACCTGGAACAGTCATTCATAATTAAACTCTTTCATCCCAAAGAGGTCAAAGATATTATACATTTGGGGAAACTCACTTTAAAGTCCGTTACGTTTGTAAATCAGTGTGCTATACATGTGAAGATGAAAAACAATTTTTTGCTGTTATACATTCTTATAAAGAAAATGTGGAAAACCAGTAACTCACATAATCTGTGAAGTGAATAGTTATTTGAGTTGTTTAAAATGTTGAGTGGGACTACACTTTCATTCAGTTACTTTTAAAATTTAGAAATTTAGCCGTGGCTGGTTTGGCTCAGCGGTTAGTGTCGGCCTGCGTCCAGAGAGACCCGGGTTTAGTTCCTGCTAAGGGCATGTATCTTGGTTGCAGTTTGTCCCCTGCCCTGGTTGGGTCATATAGGTGACAGCCACACGATGTGTCCCTTTTACATCGATGTTTCTCTTCCTCTCTCTCCCTCCCACTCTATCTCAACAAAAAATGGGGGGGGGGGGGAATAAATAAATAAAATTTAGAGATTTATAATATACTTATATAATTTAAACATGATCAATTTGGCAGTATTTTTAATACATAATCATTAATTTCCCTTTTAAAATTAACGTTTTTTAAAAATTATGTCTATAAAACAGGATCGTTTTTATATACAAATATTATAGTTTAATAAGTATCAAAATGGATGTTATGAAATAAGTGTGTGTTTAATGAAAGTATAGCTGACACTAAAATCCTTTCTCTCTTCCATAATTACTAGAGTACATGTAATGGAGACAGACCTTATCAATTCAATGAACTTTGGAAAAACTTCAACCAGAAGACAAGTTCTACTAAATGTGAGAAAACGTACGTTGTAGAGAACCCTTATAGATATGGAAAAGTCTTTGACCAAATATCAGATCACAATATATATCAGGTTATCTGTATTGTGGAGAAAACAAAAAAACAAAGTCAGTGTATCAAACCATTTAATTTATCTTTAAATAACACTTTACAAGAGGATATTCATTCCAGGGAGGAGGCTTACAAATGGAATTTCTGTGGGAGAGTTATCAGTGAAATATTTAGTCCAAACAGACTGAAAATTTTTGATACTGGAAAAAAACGACATGAATGTAAATCTGGTGGGAAAACATCTAATTGGCTTTTGGATTTTATGCTAAATCAGACAGTTCAGACTGCAGAATCGCCTTATAAGTGTGAAGCATGTGGCAAAGCCTTTAAGTGGCATTCAGATCTCACTGCACATGAGAGAAGAATCCATACTAGGGCAATACTTGACAAGTGCAAGGAATGTGCAAAAGACATTAGTCAGTGTTCAAAACATATTCACCATGAGAAGATTCTTAATGCAGAGAAGTCTTATAAATGTTCAGAATGTGACAAAGTCTTTGTCTCACATTCAAATCTTGGTCATCATCAGAGAGTTCATACTGGAGAGAAACCATACAAATGTAGGAGATGTGGGAAAGCCTTTGGGCACTCCTCAGCCCTTACTGTACATGAGAGAATTCATACTGGAGATAAGCCTTTTCAATGTAGAGAGTGTGGCAAAGCATTTATTCAGTCTTCAAAGCTTATTAAGCATCAGAGATTTCATACTGGAGAGAAACCTTATAAATGTGGAGAATGTGGAAAAGCCTTTAACCAACTCTCAGAACTTACTTTCCATGAGAAAATTCATTCTGGAAGGACACCTTACAAATGTATGGAATGCGAGAAAGCATTCAGTGCGCCCTCAGCCCTTACTTTTCACAGGGTTCATACTGGAGAAAAGCTTTACAAATGTACAGAATGTGGCAAATCATTTGGCCAGTCCTCAGGTCTTACTCAACATCACACAATTCATACTAAAGAGAAGCCTTATAAATGTAGAGAATGTGGCAAAGCCTTTACTCAGTCTTCATACCTTATTAGGCATCAGAGAGTTCATACTGAAGAAAAACCTTATAAATGTACAGAATGTTGTAAAGCCTTTAGGTACACATCAGGCCTTAGTGTACATCAGAGAATTCATACTGGAGAGAAGCCTTATAAATGTGGAGAATGTGGCCAAGCATTTATCCAGTCCTCAGCCCTTATTTATCACCACAGGGTTCATACTGGAGAAAAGCCTTATAAATGTACAGAATGTTGTAAAGCCTTTAGGCAGGGCTCACAACTTATTGTGCATCAGAGAATTCATACTGGAGAGCAGCCTTATAAATGTAGAGAATGTGGCAAAGCCTTTAGCCATTCCTCAAGTCTTACTCAACATCAGACAATTCATACTAAAGAGAAGCCTTATAAATGTAGAGAATGTGGGAAAGCATTTAGTCAGGCATCAACCCTTGCTGTACACGAGAGACTTCATACTGGAGAGAAGCCGTATAAATGTGGAGAATGTGGCAAAGCATTTATTCAGTCTTCAAAGCTTATTAAGCATCAGAGAATTCATACTAAAGAAAAACCTTATAAATGTACAGACTGTTACAAAGCCTTTAGGCAGAATTCGCATCTTATTGTGCATCAGAGAATTCATACTGGAGAGCAGCCTTATAAATGTACGGAATGTGGCAAAGCCTTTAGCCATTCCTCAAGTCTTACTCAACATCAGACAATTCATTCTAAAGAGAAGCCTTATAAATGTAGAGAATGTGGCAAAGTATTTAGTCGGTCCTCAGCCCTTACTGGACATGAAAGAATTCACACTGGAAAGAATCCTCATTAATGTGGAGAATGTGGAAGAACCTTTAACTTGCCCTCAAAACTTAATATCCATCATAAAATTCTTACTGGAAAAATAGCTTACAAATGTATATAATGTGTAAAAACTTTTAATAGGTCGTCAGCTATTACTTATCAGACAGTTCATACTGGAGAGAAGCCTTATTAATGTAGAGAATGTGGGAAAGCATTTAGTTAGGCCTCATCCCTTACTGGACATGAGAGAATTCCTACTGGAGAGAAGGCTTATAAAGGTTCAGAATGTGGCAAAGCCTTCAACTTCCATTCAAATCTCACTCGACGTTAGAGAGTGCATACTGGAGAGAAACCATACAAATGTAGAGAATGTGGGAAAGCCTTTTGCCAGTCCTCGGGTTTTACTCAACATCAGAGAATTCATACTCAAGAGAAGTCTTATCACTGTTTACAGTGTGTCAAATCCTTTATCTACCTTTCAAATCTTACTCAACATCCAAGAGTTCATACTGGAGAGAACCCATACAAATGTAGAGAACATGGCAAAGTATTTACATAGTCCACAAGCCTTACTCTGCATGAGATAATGCATACTGGAGTGAAGCCTCATAGAAGTGGAGAATGTGGCAAAACCTTCAGCATGTCCTTTGGTCACAGTCCATCAGAGAATTCATGATGGAAAAAAGGCTTCTAAATGTAGCAGCTGACCCTCAAACTTTACAGTCCATCATAGTGATTATACTCTTAGACACCTTACAGATCTGTAAAATGTGGCAAAGGCTTCCAGGACGCCTTAGGAGTTCCTTATCATTAGAGAATTTGTACTGGGGAGAAACCTTATATCTGTAGATAATTCGGCAAAGCCTTCATCTGGTCTGCAAAACTACTGCCTATCAAATAATTTCTTTCCCAGAACTGAGATCTTACTCATCATCATAGATTTCATACAGGAAAGGAATCTTCTGAATATGAATACATTGGTAAAGCAATTAAAAGCCATTCATATGTTATTCTACGTGAGAGACTTAATACTTAAGAGATACCCTACTAACTTAGAGACTGGTAGATCCTTAACGTACCACTGAAAACATACTCAATTTTTTTTTTTAAGCCTCATCTGAGGACATTTTTCCATTTTTTGTACAGACAGAGTGGGAGGGAGCGAGAGGAAAAGAGAGAGAGGGAAACATCGACGTGAAAGGGACACATCGAGTGGCTGCCCCCCGCACGACCAACCAGGGCCGGGGACAAACTGCAACCGAGGCACATGCCCTCAGCGGGAACCGAACCCGGGCCTCTCCGGACCGCAGGCGGACGCTCTAACCGCTGAGCCAAACCGGCCAGGGCAAAACATACTCAATTTAAGAGTATTCATAGTGGAGGGAAGCCTTTAAACTGTTTAATTTTACTGAACTTCATTCAGAGCTTTCCTACTGCAGACAAGCCTTACAAATATAAGGAGTTTGGTAAATCCTTACCTTTGCAGTGGGATCTTATTTAACATCACATAATTCTATCTGAAGGCAGGCATTTCAAATGTAAAAGGTTAGGTAATCCTGTAATTATCACTGGTGTCTTACTCAATACAACATAATTCATGGTGGAGGGAAGACGTTATTGAAATGAGCATTCTTACTGAAGAGAAACATTATGGAACTAGGGAATGTAGCACAGCCTTTCACTTGTGTTCATACTTACTGAACATTGGAGGAATCATTCCAAAGAAAACAGTAAAAATGTAAAGCGTTCTGTGAGCCCAGCCAGCGTGGTCCAGTGGATTGAGTGTCATTTCTGCAGCTGAGCACTTCTGGTTCAATTCCAGACCTGGTCCCATGCCTGGACTGCAGACTCGATCTCTGGTACAGGGTGTGCAAGTGGCAGCCCGTGTTTCTCTCTCACATCAAGGTGTTTATCTCTCCCTTTCTGTTTCTAAAAATTCACCAGAAACATATTTAAAAAATAATAATTTGTCCAAAGATTTAACCATTGTTCAAGCTTGATAGAGGATGTTAAAATTAAGCCTTAGAAATTGTAACACGTGTGCCTAAGGAATACCCTCATTTATGTCTTACTCAGTATTTTTAAATTATTTCTGGATAGTCGCCATGGAAATATAAGTCAGGCGAAGTTTTACTCAGTATGCAAACCATACTGCATATCAGAATTCATATTGGAGAGGAACAATACATGTGTAAACAAGGTAGAAATGTCTTAATTCAGCGTTCATAGTTTATTCCTCACCGTAGAATTCATACCAGAAAAAACCCAAAAAACTGACAATTGTGGCAAATCATATAGCTGGACCTACAGCCTCCGTCATTATCAGGGATTATAATTAGGGAGGAATTGTACATTCATTATGTAGAAGAAAAGATCGTCCTTCAAAATATGCATTTCACATAAATCCAACAAAGGTATGCCTTTCATTGACTTGAAAGATGTAAATAATTTTAGCAATGTATGTAATTGAATATGAACCATAAAATATCACTGAATCCACACTCATTTGATAGGCACAAATAATTTTCCCGTATTGCTTTAAATAGGAACAGTGTACAGAATAATTTCAAATTTTAAGCAAAGCTCAGTAAATTTTAGTATGCTTCATATATGAAAACAATATTTTCATATGTATTATTTCTTTCAGTGTTATCTATTTTTATATTGACATTGTAGATATTTTCAAAAGGAGATAGAAATTTGATTCTACTCCCATATCTCTCGATGCTACTATGATTTCTGGTGTATGTGTGAAATCATGGGGTTGATTGTTACAGCCTTAAAGATCTGTGAGCTCTTGTCTATTACATGTGTTTCACTTATGCATCCTTTTCCACAGAAGTGTGAGTACATTGTAACGCACACTGTATGAAGACAATCTAAATGGAGAGTCTCTGTATGTGGTTGACTTAGAATGTATTATGTTGCCGTGAAGAGCATTATAAATTTTAATAAGATTCACCAGTTATTCTTCAAGGAAATGGTTTCAGTTCATTAAAATTCTGATGTATCTTTATAGTAACCAAAGATAGAAGTGATGAACAGTAATGGATATGACTGAAATAAAAAAGAGATGTGGGATATCTGTGAAATTGTATTCAACTCATTTCTAAATGCATAAAAGTATTGTACATCCATGTTTTCTAAACGATTTGCCTCTATTCTGAAGCCCAAAGGAAGCACAGCTGTCACATTATTATATCGGAAAAGTAATGCTTTTTAAGTGTTTGTAATGTGCATTTTGACAAATGGTTACAGTGTTATTTTTCATATTTTATTTAGATTATGAGTGAACTTTGTATTTTCATTAATAATACCGAGTGATTTGGATGTGTTCATGTATCCAACCTTACTCAAGGTTGTAGGTAACAATAACCCTATTTGGTAATGCACTGCATTTATTGATATATTTTTCATTTTCTGGCACATAGTAGGACTTTATGATAGTTACAATAAATATGACATGAATGTCTTGAGAGTTGAGCTAAACTACATCATATTAGTGCCATGGCATTCACTTTGTATCTCTAGGAGCCTTTTTGTTTTGTTTTTAATATATTTTTTTCCTTTATTGGTTTTAGAGAGAGAGGAAGGGAGAGGGAGAGAGAGATAGAAACCCCCATGAGAGTGAACATCGATTGGCCACCTCCTGCCTGCCCCCCACTGTAGATCAGGCCCACAACCTGGGCATGTGTCCTGACCGGAAATCGAACTGGCAACCTCTTGGTGCATGGGTCGACGCTCAACCACTGAGCCACACTGGCCAGACTTGCTAGGAGCCTTGAACGACACTGTCTTCTTCCTCTGCACGCACTAGGCACTGGTTCACAGAGTCCGAAGTCGGTGTCAGTTTCTGACATAACTCTTTATCAGCCTCTATAAGCAAGAGTTTCTGGGGCAATTGAGGGCATTCACCATGTGTGGCCCTTAGATAAGATCTCTGCATATCTTACCAAACCCTTCCTTTGGTTTAAATTTAACAATCTAAACTTATCTCTAGAATTGCCAAGCACTTGGCTCATGTCACTTAATAAAAGCATGTTTCCTGGGTCCTGCTACTGGCTGCCCCATGTTGCCTTCAGCTCCACGTAGAGCCTCTCCATCTGTTCTGGGTACTTTCCTGAGGACCTGTGAGTTATAAACATGTCTGATTCAGTGTCTGTTGTGCTCTTCATCCCTTACCGGTGCTCTGCGTAACAAATGCTAATTTTAAAAGGTCCAAGTATAATTGGAAAGTTCTTTTAACTTTTTGAGCCTATATATATATTTGGTGCATATTTTTTCCTGAGCTTACCTAAACAAATTTACATGATGTGATCCACAAAAATGCAGTATGTTCATAAAGGTATAGAGAAGGAATGAGGGGAAGAACGTGTGTGAGTACATATATACGTTTTGAAATGTACAGGGAAATAATATGCTAAAATAAGTAATTTAAATATATTTAATGATTTGTCCAGGCCAGTGTGGCCGAGTTGTATGGCGTGTCTTGCCTTAAGCAAAAGGTTACAGGTTCAAGTCTCAGTCAGGACACATACCAAGGTTGGCCCTTCATTGTACAATCAGGAAGAGAACTTATATTTCTTACATTTATCCACGTATCTATGTCATACACACTTTCTCAATATCCACCTTGCTGTCTAAAATCTGTAAACATATAGTCAGTTGAGGATTTTTTTTTTTATTTCTCACCCAAGGATATTTTTTTATTATCAGCTAGTGAGAAACAGAGAAACATTTATATGATAGAGCCCCATTGACCTGTTGCCTCCCTGTCACATGACCATACCAGGTTCGGGGATGAACTGCAACTGATACACATGCCCTTGACTGGAATAGAATTCGGGGCTTATTGGTCTATGGGCCAACACACTAAGCACTGAGCCAAACTGGCTAGGGTTCAATTGAGGATTTTGTTTTTAAACTCATTTATTGTTGAATGTATTACAGATGTCCCCCCTTTTTTTTCGATTAATCTCCTACTCCCCAAACCCACCCCTCCTTACCTTGACCACACTGTTGTCGATGTCCATTGTTTATGCACATATACATAGCAGTTCTTTGGTTTATCTCATCTGCCCGCCCCCCCTTCTCTTTGAAGTTTGTTAGT